CCCATGAACCTTATAACCAATATGCGTGAGACGCTGCAATACTCCCAGGACGATCAAGGGCACATCCGTTGTTGGCTCGAAGCCTTCGCACACCGGGAAGAAGGAGAAGAAGCCAAAGAAGGATAAAAAGGAGAAGGCAAGCAAATGTAAAGGCAAGGTCAAAGCGTAGTGAAGCGCTACTGCTAGCTGGAGGGTGAGGTAAGTTGTTGCCTTGCAACAGCCTACACACTCTAGAAGGGGTGTTGCGGAACTGCTATAGATATTACATGCGCACTTCTGACAAAATGGTGTAGGTCCAGGAATGCAGTCTGGGGTAGCTGTTGCCAAGCAACTTGCGTGTGGGCCTTTGCCTAGAGGTTTGAAAACGGGATATAAGCTCTAGTTGTGTACTCAAGGGCCTGTAGCAGAAACCCAATAAAGTGTATCCTAGCAAGTGCCCATGTGCTGCAATTCTTGCACATGCGAGGCCACCATGTAAATCATGGTTGCCATGACATATGGATCTGGGGAGCATCTGCGCAGACTGGAAAATGCCGCGATCCAATTCTATCTACAAGCCATGAAAGTCTACACTTGACCCTGAATCCCCAACATGATAAGTCAAGCTGTGCTCCCCTACGCAGGTCTTTTGGAAGAAGCTGATCAACAAGACAGCAGCTGGAAACTGAGATTACAGAATTTGCAAAGTGCTGAGCTACAATAGGTGAACCCCAAAATGTCGGGCCTTGACCAGGTGATGGTGACACTGCTTCGGATATGGATGATGACCTTGCGCAGGAGCTGTTTGTTGGTTTCGAAGAAGGAGTGCCAATGTTGCAATTAGCCCCTTTCTGCTGGATAGGATAGGAATTGTATAGGGCACCCAGAAATCCCCTTAATAGCACCTAGCTTCCTATGTCGGGGTATGGAATTGGTGCTTGGGGTATAGTATTCTATAGGGCTCAGGGATTTGTTCTAATTAGAGGCTGAATCAGCGAAACGGGTGACTCGGTTGGCGATCGTTGCCTATAACAAGCTCAGGAAATATGGTGCCTCCTCCTGATCCCAGTACATGTTTGTTGTAATGCTATAGTACGTGTATGGGCCCCTGAACGGCATAGGGTACTATAGTTAACCCCATACTAAGGCATCAATGACCCAATGCTGAAAGCTATGGCTGATTGTGGCTACAACAAGAAGAACCAGTGCCGAAACCTTCACAATCTGATCCATAGGAAAGGCAAGACATTTCCTGTCGAAGTAAGTACTACTCGGACGATTGCTCGAAAGCTGACTGGGAAACCTGGTACGGTGACAGTGAACTTTCCGATCATTTACTTAAGTTCTTGGGCCAGAGCCATCATGAACAAAGGAGGACAATTCCTTTTGGGCGG